TCAAATTATACACATTCACATTTCATTGTAAAGGCTGCCCTCTGCAGACAGTATTAAAAATTGCAGATTTATTGCACAGCCTAAATCTCTTCAATTGATTAATTTGCCTAAATTAGGAATAGGAGCTAGCAAACAGGCTAAGGACTCTTTCATTTAAAAATGCTTTGTCCTGGTAGGCTCATAGGAAACTGCCCCATGTAATGTATTGTTGTGCTGTATAAACCGAATAGCCCCAGGTTTGTCCATACAGTGTGGAGCTGAAGGAACACAGCAGGTCAGGCAGCATCAGAGGAGCAGGAAAATCGACATTTCGGGTTTTCACCCTTCATCAGGACTTGGGAGGGGGAAGGGAGCTTGGAAATAAATAGAGGGAGGAGGGGTGGGGCTGGGGGTGAAGGTAGATGGGATGGTGATAGGTGGATGCAGGTAGGAGTAGTGGGGATTGGTCAGTGGGAAGTGTGTGGGGCAGGTACGTGGGAAAGAGGATGGACAGCTACTGTCAAGTCAAGGAGGTGGGGATGAGAGGGAGGTTTGGACATGGGATGATGCGGGGGTCGGGGAGCCCGTGAGCAGCTTGAACAGTTCATCAACTTTACTAACACCTTTCACCCCAATCTCTCATTCACCTGGACCATCTCCAGTACCTCTCTCCCCTTCCTGGACCTCTTTGTCTCAGCACTGATATCTATTTCAAACCCACCGACTCCTATAGCTACCTTGCTACACCTCCTCTCATCCACCTTCCTGCAAGAATGTGATCCCTTACTGCCAATTCCTCCGCCTCTGCCATATCTGCTCCCAAATGCCAGATATCTTCCTACTTCAAGGACCACAACTTCCCCCCTCCGTTGATCCATAATGCCCTCAACCACATCTCTTGCATTTCCTGCACTTCTGCCCTCAAACACCCTCCCCCCAACAAAAATAAGAACAGAGTTCCCTTGGCTCTCACATACCTGCACATCCAGCGCATCATCCTCTGCCATTTACGCCACCTACAGTCCAACTCTGCCACCAAAGAGATACCTCCCTTCCCACCCCCTCGTCCTTTCATAGCGACCACTCACTCCACAACTCCCTCGTCCGCTCCCCATTAACCCACCACATCCGACATCTTTCCCTGCAACCGCTGGAGATGCTACACCTACCCCACACTTTTCCCTTTCACCTCTGTCCAAGGCCCCAAACAATCTTTCCAAATCCAACAGGAATTCACCTGTACATCCTCCTACCTGTCTACTGTATCTGTTGCTCCCAATGTGGCTTCCTCTACATCAGTGAGACCAAGCACAGACTCAGTGACCAATTTGGAGAATATCTGCGCTCTGTATGCTATAATCAACAACACTTTCTGGTTGCCAACTATTTTAACTGCCCCTCCCCCAACTCCCTTGGTGACATGTTCATCCTGGGCTTCCTCCAGTGTCACAATGACGCCGCACGTAAACTGGAGGAAAAACACCTCATATTCTGCCTGAGGAGCTTACAGCCTGATGGCCTCAACTAGAATTCATCAGTTTCACAATCTCCTCACCCCAGGCCCCGTCCCGTGTCTACCTCTCATCCCTCTCATCCCCGCCTCCTTGACCTGACACAACCTGTACATCATCTTTCTCACCTCTCTGCCCCACCCTTCCCACTGACCAATCCCCATTCACCCCCACCTGCATCCACCTATCACCATCCCATCTACCCTGCCTGTACCCCCCCAGCCCCACCCCTCCTCTCTATTTCCAAGCTCCCTTCCCCCTCCCCAGTCCTGATGGAGGGTGTAAACCCAAAACGTCATCTTTTCTGCTCCTCTGATGCTGCCTGACCTGCTGTGTTCTTCCAGCTCCACACTGTATTGACTCTGACTCCAGCATCTGCAGTTCTTGCAAGCCTCCAGTTTGTTCCTGTTCTGAGTTGATTTTATTTGGGTGGTGAGTTGACATCACGACAGTTCACTACGGCAGCTTGGAAGGGAAAGAATCAGCTTAGGTTCCTGCTCTTTCTTGCTATGCAAGGTTCCTCACTGGAATGTGCATAGTGTATGGATGCCAGAATCAGGCTCTGTTGTCATGCTTTTCACAGCCTGCAGTCAAATGCTTGCATTAGCCTTATGTGTAAAGAAAGTGCCCATAGGTCAACCTTTGGAAACCATACTCCAGAAGGAGTATTGCCTTTGGAAGAGGAGGACAGAAAAGGAAAGAAAATCGTCAGAATTAAAGAAATTGTTAAATATTTCTTTTGGTTCCATTCCCCGATTTCTGATGGGTTTATCAGTCTTAGATTATAGTCATATAGCACAGTCTTATATGCATTCACATAGCATTTCTCGCAGGCAACCATCAAGGCACTTCAATAGAAGAGAGGGTAATGGTTGCTGAGATTTGAAAGGAGAACCTAAGAAGGATGATGGACATGTAAACTGAAGATATAGGTTTTGGAAGTGTATGAGAATTGGAGAAGAAATAGGGTGCAGTTCACAAAAGTACAATCCAATCGGTGAGAGCCTCTGTCAACAATTGTCAAGGAAAAAGAAAGAGAAATATGTAAAAAGCTGGAGTTAAAGGAATGGATTTTTCATGGGAAGATGGAGGGTGAGGGAGAGAAGTATAGAATGGAGAGAAAATTACCAGCCTGGAGAATAGTGCAGAGAGGAAATTTTTATACGAGGCATCTGAAAAGGATTTTAAGAGGCAGAAAGTCTACGTCAGTAAGGCTGGGCTGGTGGGAAAGGATGACTTTTTGCATAGCAAGGTAAGCAGAAGTTTGACCAAGTTGGAGTTAGATGTGGAAGACAGCAAAGAGAATTTTGGAGGAGTAGAGAATTAGTGTTAAAAACATCTGTAAAGGGCAGAGACAGGACATTCTGGACAAATAAGAGGTCTTCATGGTTGATAGAATGTAGGGACTGAACCTCAGCACTCATTCTAATATTGCATCTTGATTGCAAACTGTTTAGTTCATTGTGAGACAGTGGCCCATAGGAAGTGATTGATTAATTGCAAGGGGGCAGGGCATTGAAGACTAGCCTTGTTTTTTAGATAGTAAGGTGGTTAATACTTTACATATGGACGGTCACTCTGTCAGCATGTATGTAAACCATTGGATGGCGGTAAGGATGGCCCCCGGGTGTCTCCGTATCTCATGTTGGTGGGGTAAAATGATGAGGCAATGCTAGGGATGCACAAACGCCAATGCAATATTTCCATAGCTTCAGCATATTCATCAAGCCATGGCGTTCAAAAGGAAAGTCTTATTGAACTGAGTGGAAGCGAGGCATTGAAGGGAGAGAGGTGTGATTTACAATCTGTAGTGCTGTGGAGGGCATCAGGAGGGCTAATCTTCTATAGCCACAATCACACAGGATGTCATTTGTAACAGGTTAGATCATTATGAAAAAAAAGCCAAACTGATCAAATGATAAGAAAGAGGTTGATAACAAAAATTGAGCAATTTAGATAATCCACCACATACCATTTTGTTTTTCAAAGTTAATAGTTGAGAAAAGTAAACGCAATAAATATTTACATATCAGCTGCTTGTCAAACACCTGTGGCTTAATTCCTTTCTTCATTCACTTATGCTGAGTGACTTTGGTGTAAAAAATGAAATACGTTTAGTTTCTTTCATCCAGAAGGTGGGATTTAAAATTGACATACTGTTTCCTCCATACCACTATCCTCTAACATATCTGCACAGTACTAATTCTGGCCTCTTGGGCATTCCCAGTTGTAAGTGCATCACCACTGGGGCCATGCTTTCAGTTGATTAGCTCCCATGTTCTGGAATTCCCTACCTGCACGACTCCATTTTATTTTCCTTCCTTAAGATGCTCCTTAAAACCTATCTCTTTGACCAAGCTTCTGGTATGCACATTGCTCCAGATAATAGAGATCATTGTGATGTTACCTTTTTATGCCTTTCACCCAGCAATTCGTAGGAAACGCTGGTGAAGAAGCAGCACATTGGACACAAAAACAGAAGTTGCTGGAAAAGCTCAGCAGGTCTCAGAACTTCTAGGGAAGGGTCACTGGACCCGAAACGTTAACTCTGATTTTTTCTTCACAGATACTGCCAGACCTGCTGAGCTTTTCCAGCAACTTCTGTTTTTGTTCCTGATTTACAGCATCCACAGTTCTTTCGGTTTTTATTTAACACATTGGACACATGGCCTTTTTTACAACATCAGCTGTTGCTTTTAACTAAGTGTCTGAAGGTCTCATCCTTTTTGGTGGGGTTAATGAACAAGTGGATGGTGGGAAAGAAGTGGGTGGCCAGATCTGGGATGAGCCATCATACCAAACGATGGCTGGGTGGTTGGGCTGGGGAGCAGTTGGGGTGTGGAGGGTTCAGAGACTGAGTAGTTGGATCCTGGGGATGGGTAATCAGGTTAGGTGATGAGTCAAATCGTGAGGTTGAGTGGTCAGTATGGGGATACATCAGGCATGGGGGGGAGTACTTTGAGCTTTGGGATTGTGTGTCTGAGGGTACCGTTTTGGGTTGCATTATTAATCATGAATTACACCAGAGAGTAAGCAATGTAACAATTTTAGGGTTAAGGATCAGGATAAATACTGAGTATCCAGCCTGAGTCTTGAACACAGCTCAGTGTAACTTTTTGCATAGTTTTCCCAGGCAGTGCAAATCAGCTCTTCGAAAATTGAAACTTTCTGGAAAATGACAGCATGTGTACACAGGTCAGAACTCTCTCAGCACCCTGCTGCACACCAGCAGCATAGGTTAAATACTTCACTGTCCCAGAATCTGGGAAAACTGACTTTACATGGTTCAGTTTCATACATTATTTCATGCTGCTCCTGCAAGGTGACTTGTGATGTTTCATTATGTTGAGGATGCCACATCAATGTAAGTAGTAGTTGATTTCTTTACATTGCTGGAATGTGTTATAATGAAACAAGGTGTGTATGCCTTCTAAATGGGGCATGTCTATTTTCAACCATTTTTCACAACGTAAACATTACAAATCTGACTCTGCTTTTTCACAATACTAGGTCTTTAGAGCCATCCCAAGATGGTACATCAGTATCTGGAGTTCAGGAGAAACAGCGGCCAAAAGCTCCACGCCTAAGGAAGCTTACAAGACAATACAGCTTGTGAGTCCTTTGTAATCACTTACCCTGAAGTTCTGTTAATTTAGTCAAATGTAGCTTGTTCACCATAATGTCTCAAAGAATATACTGAAGATTTGTATATACAGATTCGTCATATTGCATGTTCAATATTTGAATCTTTCCAATCACCAATGCTGGTTGTTATGACAGAAGGTTACACTGTATGCATTAACCAGTGTGAAGGTAATGCCATGAAGTGCTGCACACTATGCTAACAGAAGGACGAGTTCATTATATTGAAGGGTACAATTTAAGTAGGCATAGTGAAGTAACAAGGTTTAATTTCACACTCATGAATCATGGTATCAAATTCCCAGTCTTGGCTTGGAAATCATGGAAGTACTGGCAATACCACATTGCAAAGAAATGTGGGAATAAAAAACAGCCATCTACAGCTACACTTTGGTAACAGCAGCATATGTGGGTGAATAAATCTGTTGGTCTGAATACCAAATGCATATTTTGATAATTTGGCAGTGTAACTATGAGCTTCATAATTCATTTTCATGCAACAGAACTATCCTCTCCTCCTTTTGATTACATATGAAATATCAGATGATTAAAAGCCTTAACTATTAAGCTGTGTTTAGGGGCAGCAAGTCTGGTCTGTCTTGTCATACCAAACAGCAAACTCAGTTTATTTCAGGAAAGAAAAATCACAAAACACAGCTGCAAAAATCTAAGCACTCTATTAGAGAATGATATGGGATTACAAAAGCAAAATAATGCAGTGCTGAAAATCTGAATAAAAACAGAAAATGCTGAAAAGACTCCGTGGATCGGGCAGCAACTCGAGGGAGAAATAGAGTTAATGTTTCAGGGCATTATCAAATACCATTCAATAAATGAACAAGAAAGCAATAATTTCCAGTATAGTTGAGGGCATGAGTGAGTGACTACTGTGCAACCATGTAAAAGTGATGCATTGTGCAGAATTCTATTAAAATGGACTACTGAGTGGTGTATTATTGTTTTCAAAAAAAAGTGTATTGGTTCCATTTTTGAATATTTGGACCTGTATTTAATGCCATAGGTTTTGCAAAATCCTTTTAATTACATTTTTTGATGAAATCTGGAAATCATGAGCTGGGCCTGCATTTGCTCATCCCTACTTGCCATTGAGAAAATAGGGGCGAGCCACTGCCTTGGACCACTGAAATCTGTGTGCTGATGGTACGCTCACAGTGCTGTTTAGGGTGAATTGGAACTTTAATCCACTGACAAAGAAGGAATGATGATATATTTCCAAATGAGAATTACGGGTGACCGCGAGAAGTAGTGGTTGTCCCTTCTACTTGCAACCTTTGTTCTTTTCTGTAGTAAAGTTGTGGGTTTGGAAGCTGTTTAATGAGGATCCTTGGTGAGTTGAATTCATCCATCCGGTAGATGATATGAACTGGAGCTACTCTACACCATTGTTAGGTAAGGTAGTGGATGAGGAGCCAATCAAATGGGCTGCTTTATCCTGGATGGTGTCAAACTTGAGTGCTTTTGGAGCTGCAGTCATTCAGGCATTTCGGGAGTTGTGTGTCACACTCCTGACTTGTGCCTAGTAGGTGGTAAAAAGACTTTAGGGAATTGAGAGGTGAGTTAAACCGCTGATGTTTCCTACTTTTGCAGACACAGTATTGATGTGGCTAGTCCAGTTAAGTTTCTGGTCAGTGGTAACACCCAGAATATTGATGGAGGGGATTCAGAAATGGGAACCTCCCCTTGAAATTGCAGGGGATAGGGTTAGATTCTTTCTTGTGAGAGATGGTCATTTCCTGGCACTTGTAAGGAGTGAATGTTACTTTTCTTCTTTCAAGGGATGTGGGGATCGCTGGCTAGGTCAGCATTTATTGCCCTTCTCTGATTGTCCAGAGGACAGTTAAGGGTGAACCATATTCACCATCTGCCTGGGGTTCTACGTTATTAGCCTAGTGACATTACTACTATATCACCACCACTTATCAGTCCAAGCCTGAATGTTGACCAGATCACATTTTATACAGGCATGGACTTCTTCACGTGAAGAGTTGCAAATAATATTGAACACTGCAGTCATCAGTAAGCATCCATGTCTGATGATTATAGTGGAGGGAGTGAATTTGAAGAAACAACTGAAAATGGTGGGATTAGGACACTACCCTGAAAACTAATTCAGCAGTGCTCAGGGCTAAAATGATTGGCCTTCAACAGTCCTCCCCATTTTCCTTTGACAAGTTAGAGAAGAAAATTCTGGGAAACAAATCATGGCCACAGAGATGAGCTCCTGTGCTTCCATGCTTGAAAGCAGCCAGCAAGTTGTGGGAGGTAATGGCCTAATGGTATTATCGCTAGAGTATTAATCCAGAAACTCAGCTAATGTCATGGAGTCATAGAGCTGGACAGCATGAAAACAGACCCTTCGGTCCAACTCGTCCATGCTGACCAGATATCCTAAATCAATCTAGTCCCATTTGCCAGCATTTTGCCCATATCCCTCTTAAATTCTTCATATTCATATACCTATCCAGATGCCTTTTAAATGTTGTAATTGTACCAGCCTCTGCCACTTCCTCTGGCAGCTCATTCCATACATGTGCCACCTTCTATGTGAAAAAGTTGCCCCTTAGGTCCCTTTTAAATCTTTCCACTCTCACCTTAAACCTATGCCCTCTGGTTTTGGAACCCCTCACCCTGGGGAAAAGACCTTGGCTATTCATCCTATCTATGCCTGTCATGATTTTATAAACTTCTATAAAGTCATCCCTCACCCTCTGATGCTCCAAGGAAAATAGACTCAGCCTATTTTGCCTCTCCTGTTAGCTCAAACCCTCCAACCCTGGCAACATCCTCGTAAATCTTCTCTGAACCCTTTCTAGTTTCACAACATCCTTCCTACAGCAGGGAGACCAGGACTGTTCGCAGTATTCCAAAAGTGGCCTAACCAATGTCCTGTATGGCAGCAATATGACCTCCCAACCCATATACTCAATGCACTGACCAATAAAGGCAAGCATACCAAATGCCTTCTTCACTATTCTATCTATCTGCGACTCCATTTTGAAGGATCTAGGAACCTGCACTCCAAGATCTCTTTGTTCAGCAAGACCATCAAGTCTATAAGTCCTGCCATGATTTGCCTTTCCAAAATGCAGCTCTTCCTGTTCATCTACATTAAACTCCATCGGCCACTCCTCGGCCTATTGGCTCCTTCACCAAGGTCCCATTGTATTCTGAGGTAACGACCTTTTTGCTGTCCCCTACACCTCCAATTTTGGTGTCATCTGCAAACTTACTAGCCATACCTCCTATTCTGGGAAACTGGGTTCAAATCCCGCCATGGTAGAATTTGAATTCAATTTAATCTGACATTAAGATCTAATAATGACAATAAATCCATTGTCGATTGTTGGAAAAACCTATCTGGTTCACTAATGTCCTTTAGGGAAGGAAATCTGCTGTGCTTACCTGGTCTGGCCTACATGTGACGCCAGATCCACAGCAATGTGGTTGACTCTTAACTGCCCTCTGGGCAATTGGGAATGGGCAATAAATGCTGGCCTAACGAGAGCTGCCGACATCCCGTGAATAAATAAATTCAAGAAAATTATTCCGGATATTCCGGAGGCTGATCTGCAGCAGAGTGACATCATAAACAACATTGTGAAGCAGTAATAATGTGATCAAACCACCTAAAAAGAAACCAAAAATGTACAACCTCTCCACTGGATGGGAAATTGAATTTCTATTCATCACAGTAAAAGAGTGATTGCTTTATACATGATCATATATATTGATAAGTGAGAAGGGGAATTTGGAACAACACCACACAACAATGCATGGTAATGAACCGAAACGTCAGCTTTCCTGCTCCTCTGATGCTGCCTGGCCTGCTGTGTTCTTCCAGCTCCACACGGTGTTATCTCTGACTCCAGCATCGGCAGTTCTTACTATCTCTGGATGGTTAAGTCAAAGATTGTTTTCCTTTGAATGGCATATTCCAGATATAGAAAATTGATGAGCTGAAAGCTCAACAGTCATTTTTTTCTAAACCAGCAACAAAAATAAGTCCTGCTCTGAAGCATCATCATGTGTCATCTTCTGGCAAAATACAAGAAATCACCGACAGATGGTGAAGTAATTAAAGTAGAAATAAGTGTGACTGCAGACTCTTTATTACAAGACTTTGAGAACAAGGAAATAATAACGGCGATCCTGAGCAAGTCACTTGGGGCTTCCACAGTATGAAGAAAAGTGGAACCTTTGTCCAAAGATGTCTTTCAGCAACCACACAGCAGCACCTGAAGGACTCTTGATGCATCTCTTTGCAGTTCAATGAATCCATTAACATGACCGACACAGCTCAAGTACCTGTTTTGGTGCGCGTGGTTTTTAAAAATGTAGCTAAATAGGCTCTTCTCACCCTTTTGTTAGAGAGAATAAAAGGTGAAGATGTTCCAAAAAATTCAAAAGGTATGTGCTTGAGAAAAACCTTCCAATCGGGAAACTGGTTTCTACAATAATTGATGGTACACCAGCAATACTTGTGCAAATGTGGGCTTTGTTGCATTTTGCAGAAATTATCCTGATTTCCCCACTTTTTTGTACAATTCACTGTTAGTAAAATTGTGAACTTTTCTTGTGTAATTAAGTTGTTAACATTGTAAACTTGATTCGGACAAGAGCCCCTCAGCTCCACTTGTTTAAATCCTTACTTGACAAACTTACTGGTCCCTACAGTGGTCTCACTAATCCCCCATGCTGATATGAGGTGATTAAGTTGAGGGAATGTCCTGCAAAAACTTTTAGACATTTGTCTAAAATTGTCACAGTTTTTAAATCAAGGAATGAGTGTGCACTTAACTGTCAGTGCATGTTTTCTTGATGTTGGATTCCTTATAAATATTGTGTCACAACTGTAGATATTAGGACCAGCATGGTCACTCAGTGGTTAGCACTGCTGCCTCACAGCACCATGGACTCACGTTCAATTCCACGCTCTGGCGACTGTCTATGTGGAGTTTGCACATTCTCCCCGTGTCTGCACGGGTTTTCTCCGGGTGCTCCGGTTTCCTCCAAAGATGTGCAGGTTAGGAGGACTGGCCATGCTAAATTGTCTCATAATGTCCATGGATGTGTATGGCTGGATTAGCCATGGGAATTATAGGGTTACAGGGATAGGGTAGGAGTGGGAAGCTCCTCTGCAGAGGGTTAGTGTGGATTCAATGGGTCAAGTGGCCTGCTTCCGCATTGTAGGGATTCTGTGACAACTGAATGAGCTGAACAGTGAACTGCAGGTGAAGTACAGAGACTTAGCACACGTGATTGCTGCTGTGAATGCATTCTAATTCCGACTAGATCTGTGATCTTCCAAATCGAAAAATAGAATGGTTCAACACTTCCCAAATCTGTAGAAAAAACTAGGAAAGAAATCAAGACAAAGAAAAATGGTTCCATGTAAAAAACCTTTGTGCACACCTGAGGAAGTTGGCAGAGGAATTCAACAGGCAGTTTCAGAAATTAGATATGATGGAACAAATCATCATGTTTGTCTCAAATCCATTCCTTCTGGTAGATATCGGTGGGTTGGTGACCAAATTCCATCAGGGGTTGCTATAATTACTGTGCAAAATGATATTGAGCTGGAAGTCAGATCAAATGATTGCAATTTTGGGGATTCATAAACAGAGAAAAATGCTCACTCCTAACATCCTGAGCTTTTAAAATAAAAGCTGATTTTTGGCTTCACATAACTTTGTTCTCCAATGAAAATAATCAATGGTAAGTATTGCATCTGCCTCTCAGTTACAGGAATGGACTGTGTACGACTGGCAGCCTTTATTATGCTATAGTAACTGTTCCCTCAAGTTTTTTATTACAACAACATTAATTAGCCCTTTCTCACTGAATAATCTTAGATCTAAAATAGTCTGTGGCCTAGTTGGTTCCTCAACATAGTGCATAAATTCTTCCTTCATAGCATTGGTGCTCATTAGGTTGATTCAGTCTGTATGTAGTTTGAAGTCGCTCATGATTACTCAAGCACCATACACCTTTTATTTTTAATTTTTTTACCATGGCCTACAGTACCACTACTGTTTGGTGTTCTGTAAACCACTCATAACAGTTTTTGCTGCTCCTCGCTGCCATCAATCATGTCTGATACGTTTCTTGACCCCATTCTCCTGCTTTCTTCCCATAATACTTGATCTCCATCACTATCCTTTAATATGCACTTCCTGGTCTTAGCCATCTGCAGCCAGTTTTGAGAGTACATGCGGCCAGTTACAAACAATTAGCTGCAAACAGATGCATAAAGTAAGTCATTGATGGTTTTCTTGAGCTAGGTGTGTGACTCGGCTGAGAACCACAACGACCTTTTTGCTCCTCTTCTGCTTATTATTTATCCGGAACATCCGCATGGTGAAGAAACATGAATGAAGCCTGAGTGTTTCACATTCCTTTCAAAATGTTTTAATAAACATTGTAAGAGGCTGATTTTCCAAATAGTGTACTTCCACCAGTTCTTCTTTGGATTGGAAGAGTTGTAGAAAGTATCTATATTTTTCATCACTGATGAAGTTTGAGGTGTACTGACAGCCCATAAATCAATACACCAAAAGGTAATTCTGACATATTGTTTGGTTTCTTTGCGGAGAATTAAATCATTTGTTACTGTTTGTGGTATTTGTTGTTCATCGTGATTATGTAATACTTAGAACACAAATGAAATTGTTTTCCACATACATCTTCTTGTGAAAGTAGTTGTCTGAAGACTAAATGTACAGGATCTGAACTCTTGTGCAAAAAAGGTTGATTCTTATTGAATTAATTTCTGGAAATTGTGATGTTTTTGTTTGGTGGGAGATGCATGTGTTTATGGTAATTTCCTTTATTCTCTGACAGTAATCACAGTGATGAGGATGACCTGCCTCCTGCATTAGCAGCAGCCACTCGAAACAGCCCTCCCCCAGTCAGCAAACAGTCCAATTCCGATGTTCAGTTACAATATCCCACTTGCATTAAGGTATAGACTTTATTTTAAGAAAGCTATTCAATCAGATTTATCTGCTGCAAAACCAGTAAAACTGGCTTGTTAAATACATGTTAAACTACTACTGTTGTGTTACCTGCAATGTAGTGATATCCTCTGTCATATTTTAAGTGCAACCTTGTCTCGATCATTTAAAAAGAATGAGAAAGAGTATAGAGTCATTAATCTAACATCATTTGCCAATTAAGGACACTCCAAAAGACTAGTCAGTTATTGTGAAGTATTGTTATTGTTCGAATGCTACCTCTTGAGGTTCCTAGCAGTGTTCCCTGTCACTTTCTCACTGACTGTGCAGCGCACGGCAATAATTTCCAGAACCGGAAATCAATGCCATCATTGGTGTAAAAATGCGGATCACCACTTGTGGAACATCAAGGTAATGGAGGGGCTGTTGATTCTCAGCATGTCAGATGCCAGTCTTCAGCCAATTCAATTCACTCCACATTATAATCAGAAACAGCTGAAGGCACTGGATATTGCAAAAAGCTATGCGGCCTGACAACATTACATCAATAGCACTAAGGACTTGTGCTTCAGAACTTATCATGTCCATGGCCAAGCTGTTCCATTTCAGCTACAACACTGCCATCTACCTGATAAAATGGACAATTGCTCAGGTATGTCTTCTACAACAAAAACAGGACAAATCCAACCTGGCTAATTACTATCCGATCAGACTATTCTCACTCATTATAAGAGTGATGGAAATAGTCATCTGCAGTGCTGACAAACACTAGTTGCTTGAATATAGGAACAGGATAAGCCATTCGGTCCCTCAAGCCTGTACCACCATTCATTGAGATCATGGCTGGTATGTGGCTTAACTCCACATGACTCTGACTCTGAAAATCTTTACTTAAGAATTTATCTATTTCAGATTTAAAATTAACTGCTTCAGCACCAACTGCTCTTTGAGTAAGAGAGTTCCAAATATCTACCACCCTCTGTGTATAGAAATATATCCTAACATCTTTCCTGAATGGTCTGGCCCTAATTCTTAGACTATGCCTCTAGTTCTAGAATCCCCTATCAGTGGAAATAATTTATCTTTATCCCCACCCTGTCTTTTCCTTTTAATATCTTGAAGACTTCACTCAGATCACCCCTTAACCTTCTAACAGGCCACCTTAATCCTGACGTTCAGGTATCATTCTTGTAAACCTACGTTTTTCTCCCTCCAAGGCCAATATATCCTTCCTGAGGTGTGGTGCCCAGATCTGGGCTCAGTCCTCCAAGTGCGGGCTAACCAGAATTTTGTACAACTGCAGCATAACATCTTCATTTTTGTACTCCAGTCCTCAAGATATAAAGACCTAGCATTCCGTTAGCTTTCTTGATACTTTTCTGCACCTGTTCATGACATTTCAAAGATCTATTCTCCTGAGTCTCTTTGGACATCCACTGTATTTAACTTAATACCATCTAGAAAGTATCCTGATTTTTCCTTTTTCAGTCCAAAATGGATCATGTCACATTTGCTTACATTGAACTCCACCTGCCATAGTCTCACTTAGCCTATTAATATCCCTTTGTAATTTTGTGCTATCATCTACACTTGTCTATAATGGCACCAAACTTTGCGCCATCAGAAAATTTAGATATATGACTATCTATGCCATTATCCAAGTTGTTAATAAACAATGTGACTAATTGAGGCCCTAACACAGATCCTTGTGACCCAACATCCTGGTCACATCCTGTCAATTTTGAGTACCTACCCATTTCCTCTACTTTTCATTGCCTGCCACACAACTAATTTCCCAGCAACGTCAGTAATTTACCCTCAATTCTGTTGGCTTCTACCTTTGTTAACAGTCTCTTATGAGACACTTTATCAATTGCCTTTTCGAAATCAACATAAACAACAGTTCCCTGTCCACATCCTTAGTCACCTCTTCAAAAAATTCAATGATCTCATGTCAGGTATTGATTGCTGACTCCGTCCGAACAGCTGAAAATTTTCCGTGTTCAGTTACCTCATCCTTGATTATACACTCCAACAAATTTCCCCACCACAGATGTCAGGCTAACTGGTCTTTAAATCCCTGGTTTTCCTCTTTTGCCTTTAAAAAGCGGATTGACATGTGTAATTTTCCATTCCAGAGGGGGATCTCTGAAAAGTTACATTTGACCAAATGTGGCATCAAGGAGTTCCAGCAAAACTAGAGGGAATGGGAACTGGGGAGAGTGGGGGATGTCCATTGGTTGGAGTCACACCTGGCACATAGGAAGATGGTTGTGGTGGCTGGAGGTCAGACACACAAATCTCCGAGGACATCTCTGCAGGAGATCCTCAGGATAGTGTCCATAGCTGCTTCATCAATAACCTTCCCTCCATCATAAGGTCAGAAGTAGGAATGTGTGCTGATATTTGCACGCTGTTCAGCACCATTCATGACTTCTTAGATACTGAAGCAATCACTGTCCAAATGGAACGCAACCTGGACAGTATCCAGACTTGGACTGAAAAGTGGCAAGTAATATTCGTGCCACACAAATGCCAGGCAATGACCATCTTCAAAAAGAGACAATCATGGCATTCAATGATGTTACCATAATTGAATCCCCCAGAATATTGGTAGTGGAGGTCACCATTGACCAGAAACTCAAATGGACGAGCTATATAGAAACATAGAGTCAAAAAACTAGGAATCCTACAGTGAGTAACTCCCGTCCTATGTCTCCAAAGCCCGTCCACTATCTACAAGGAACAAGTCAGGAATATGTTGGAATATTCCCCATGTTTGGATAAGTGCAGCTCCAAAAACACTCAAGCAGCTTGACACTAACAAGTACAAAGTGGCAAGCTTGATTGGTACCATTCCACAAACGTTCACACCCTCCACCACTGATTCTCAATGTCATAAGTGTGTACAATCTACAAGATGACAGCAGAAATTCACCAAGGCTGGTTGGGAACATAACCAGCTGCAGGTTCCTCTCCAATCCATTCATCATCCTGACTTAGAACTATATCGCTGTTCCTGCAGTGTCATTGGGCCAAGTTCCTGGAACTCCTCTAACAGCATTGTGGGTTGCCCTGCAGCACATGCGCTGCAGCACTTCAAAAAAACAGCTCACCAGCTCCTTAAGGGCAACTAGAGATGGGCAATAAATGCTGACCCACCTGAGAACCCCACATCCCACGAATGAATAACAAAGTAAAACTAGGCAGCCAATTTGTGCCCAGCTGGCAATCAGATTCAACAATGAACTAAATAAGTAGCTACAAAAGCAAAATATTGCAGATACTTGAAATCAGAGTTAAGAACAGAAAATGCTGAAAATACTCTTGTTTAGTTAGTATCTGTGGAGAAAAGCAAAGTTAACATTTCAGCTTCATGACCTTCCATAATCTGATTTAACAAGGGAGGATGGTCAGGTTGAAATTGGGTGGAAAGGTTAAAAAATGAAAGTATTAAATGCTCAAAGACAACCAAATCCACCCATTTTCACTTTAACAAAGACAGGTCAAGAGCTGAGGAATCAATTTACTTCCATTAATTAAAATCATTTGAGGGGAATGCGTACTTCCATTTTTAAAAAAATCTGGTTATTTATTATGAACACATGGAAGTCATGGGAATCTTGGTGAGTAAATGGAGGCAAGAATGGCTAAATCCCCTAGGCCCAACGTGCCAATGGAAGCTGCAATTGGCCAACATCCTAGCTAACATACCCTCTGGCCACCCTCACATTCCGCTTTCTGACTGCCGTTGGTGTCTGTGAGATTCATGCCATTCCTCCAGCAATGTCTGATTCACACAGCTTCCCCTAGCCCCTGGCAATGTGGTATCTGCTATCTACTCCCTTGTTGTTTGTTGCTTTCCAGCCCGACAGTGGACTGATGAAACTGAGTGAAATCCATTTAAAGATCACTGCAGTTGATTTCCGTATTTCTTTTCAGAAAACTATCCTTCAAGCTTTCTTGTGGTCCTGTGTAAATGTGGGGACCTTTCCTTAATTATAATTTCCTTTCGAGAAAGGAGAGTGATACATTTTTGTAATACGGTCACACATCTTGCCTTGTACCCATACCACACCTTTAGTTTACAAACAATTTTTCTTTTATATCTTGTCCTTTTATCTAGCTGGTTCCAATTAAGAGTTGACTACAGCATTAAGGGGGCCACGAAAGTAATTACATGAAAAATGGTCCTTTGTAGATGGAAAGTTCTATGTACGAGTCCCAGTATTGATTATATATTGATAGATTTTGTCATTCCCCTGCTACAGCAGTACCTTCTTTTTTAAAGAACTTAGTAAAACACTGTAGTTCACATGATGATCTTCCTTCTTAACATCAGAAATAATCTCACCTAGTCTTTGATTGTTTGATATTCAAATACAAAACTCTCACTGTTCTTTCACTTTATAAATATCACATATACTGTTTCATGTAAGTTTTATCAAAGTCAATCCAATCCACCTCTGTTTTTAAAATAGGTTAAGTGTTGGATTAGTTCTATTCATTTGTATTTAAGGTGTGCTTGTTTATATCAGTTATTTTCTTCATGTGGAAATTATGCACTTGTCCCCTTCACCCATCATTCATCAGGTCACTGCTGACCATTTCCACACTTCTAACCCCTGCGTTCAGCCATCTTTGATCGCAAGTTTCATTACTTAATGGCTGCTGATAACACAAAAATGAAACCGAATAAATGTCCATCTTCTATTTTGGGAACTTGTTTGGAAAGTGGGAGTTTTCCAAAGTAGTATAGTGAGAGTTTAGGGCCAGCATGTCCCTCTAAGAGTGAAAGACAAGGGCAGCAAGTCCAGGGAATCCTGGATGTCAAGGTATATCGAGAGTCTGAAAAAGAAAAAGAAGCAAGCATATGTCAGGTACAGTGCAGTAAAAACAGGGGAAGCCCTTCAGGAGTATAGAGAGTGTAGGAGCATGCTTACAAAACAAACTAGGAGGGCATAGAGTGGTCACAAAATAGTTTTGCAGTTAGAATTAAGGAAAACCCCAAGACATTTTATAAGTATATAAGGAGCAAGAGGATTACCAGGGAAAGAGTGGGACCTATTTGAGACCAAAGGGGCAATCTGTGCATGGAGCCAGAGGACGTGGGTGAGTCTCAAATGAATATTTCTCATCTGTATCCACAGAGGAGAAAGACATTGTAGCTGGAGATTTCATTTGGGATGGAGTCAACACAGTATGGAGCTGGAGGAACACAGCAGGTCAGGCAGGATCAGAGGAGCAGGAAAGTCGACGTTTCGGGTCAGGATCCTTCATCAGGACTGGGTAGGGACAAGGGAGCTGGGAAATAAATAGAGGAGGTAGGGGTGGGACTGGGAGAAGGTAGGTGGGATGGTGATAGGTGGGATGGTGATAGGTGGATGCAGGTAAGGGGTAGTAGGGATTGGTCAGTGAGAAGGATGGGGAATATAAGTGAAGAAGAAGATGCACGGTTACTGTCAGGTCAAGGAGGCTGGGATGAGAGGTTGGATGTGGGATGAGGCCAGGGGTGCGGAGATTTTAAAACTGGTGAATTCTATGTTCAGGCCATCGGGCTGTAGGCTCCCAAGGCGGAATATGAATCCCCACTATCCCCTACCTGCATCCATCTATCACCATACTACCTACCTTCCCCAGCCCCACCCTCTCCTCCCTCTATTTGTTTCCCACCTCCCTTCCCCATCCCCAGTTTTGAAGAAGGGTCCCAACCTAAAACATCAACTTTCCTGCTCCCCTGACGCTTCCTGGCCTGCTATGTTCCTCCAGCTCTACACTGTGTTGACTCTGACTGCAGCGTATGCAGTTTTTGCTATCTCATTTGGGATGGAGAAGTCTAGAACACAATAGGATTAATAAGGAAGAATTATTAGATGTTTTATCAGGCATACGGTGCATAAATCCTCCAGGGCCTTACGAGATGTATCCCAGGCTGCTATGGGAAGCAAGGGAGGAGATTGCTGGGGCCCTGGCAGATATATTTAATACTTCGCTAGCCACAGGTGAAGTGCTAGATGACTGGAGGATAGCTAATGTGGTTCCCTGGTCCAAGAAGGGAAGCAGGGATAGGCCAGTAATAGGGAAATTATTGAAAAAAATTCTGAGGGAAAGGATTGATCATCACTTGGAAAGACAGGGATTGATCAAGGACAGTCAGCATGGATTTGTTAGGGGAGATCCTGTCTCACTAATCTCAGAGTTTTTTTGAAAAGGTGACCAAATATATCCGTGAGGGTAGTGCAGTTAATGTGGTTTACATGAACTTCAGTAAGACCTTTTAATATGGTCCCACATGGTCCAAATATAAAAGCCCATAGGTTCCAAGGCAGGTTCAGAAACTGGATCCAAAATTGGTTTGCAAATAAGCAAAGGGTGATTTTTAGAGGGTTGTTTTTGTGATGGAAGCCTGTGACCAGCAGTGTACCACAAGGATCAGTATTGGGGCCCTTGCTGTTTTGTTTATGTACATTAATGATTTGGATGTGGATGTAGAGGATATAATTAGTAAGTCTGCAGATGACATGAAACTTGGGGGTGTTGTTCACAGTCAGGAGGATATCTCAGGCTACAGTCTGATATTGATTAGCTGGTAAACTGGGCAGAGTAATGGCAGATGAAATTTAATCATGATAAGAGTGAGGTGATACCTTTTTGGAGGTCTAATTAAGAAAAATATACAGAATGAATGGTAGATCCCTATGGAGCACTGACGAACAAAGAGGTCTTGCTGTACGAGTTGGAGCATAGGAGGCTGGCGGGAGGGACGGAGTCTGCTTAAAATATACAAATTGAGAGGCATAGATAAGGTAGATTGTGTGAATCTTTTCCATGTGGCAGACATGTCCAAGGCCAGTGGCCATAAGTTTGAGGTGAGGGGTAAGTGGTTTAGAGGAGATCTAAGGAAAAATGTTTTCACCCAAAGTTTTGTAGAAATATGGAATGTACTGCTTGAAGGGGTGTTGGAAACATCCAGATGAGCATTTAAAATGCCAGGGCAAAGAGGAGTATGAACCAACTGCAGATAAATGGAATTAATGTAGTCTGATGTTTGTTGGTTGGTGTAGACATGGTGGGGTGAAGGGCCTGTTGTTATGCTGTTTGAGTCTATGACTCTATTCATCAAATGGTTACAGTTCTTAATTTCCCAAAGAGTGAACAGCGACTCCTATTTTTTTTTTTAAAAGTCCGGTTATTTCCATCTACATTTGCTGTCAAGTTTCCAGAGACCCGAGAAGATCAAATTGCCAGGACGACATTTCAATCAGGCTTCCAACAGCCCTTTGCAAACCTGATTTAATAATTATAATGAAGTGTCTTTCTATACAACCTGCCAATGTAAAGATGGTGGCAGATATATAAGTAGCTAGGTGGGGCTCTTCTATGTTTGAGTTGAATTTTTGATTAATGGCTCTAACTCTAGGTCAATTCAGATTGGCCAATAAATACTTACCATTCCAGAATCCCACGTCTTATGAGAAAATATGATAAGTTCTCTGCTGAGGTGTTCATATGAATTCCTTAATCTTCCGGTTCCCATTCAAAAATGGAATATGGAATTTACTGTATCTTTGCCTCTCACTGACTCAATCCCTCAATGACTTCAGCATACCTCAACAATTGTTTAGCTAAATTTAATTACCCTTTTCATTAAAGACTGGATTACACTATTTTCTAATGGTGAGATGCTGACAAATATTGATATTCAAAGGGACTGGGTGTCCTTGTACATGAATCATAGAAAGCTAATATGCTTTTAGGAAAGCAAATGTTATGTTATACTTTACTATGAAGTTACTATTGGAGTGACCAAATCCTACTGCAGTTGTGAGGGCTTGGTGAAACCTGGAGTAACATGCACTGTTTTGGTCTCCTTATCTAAGGCAGGATGTGGGCACTTTGGAAGAAGTTCGACAAAGTTTTTCAGACTGATACATTTCATGTGGCCATTGTCCTGGGAATAATTAGGGATTCTAGAACTGAGATGTGAAACTTCTTAATTCAAAAGGTTTTAAATCTTTGAATTTCTCCACCCCAGAATGCTCAGTCTTTGAATATAATCAAGACTAAGATCAATAAATTTGGGGAAATAAGGAAATGATGGCAAAAGGGGATACTGCAGCAAGGAAAAATTGAGGTAGATCGGCTGTGATCTTACTGAATAGTAGATGATGCCGAAAGTGAAAAATGCCTAGTCCTGTTCCTTTTTCTTTCTTACATGTACTAAACATTATCTGGTGACCTTTTCACACGTGTATGCATCAGATAAGAGCTCTATAACCTTTCTGAAAATGCTGATGCACATAGGTATGACTTTTTGCATGCATGATGTGACGAGTTAAGAAGGCACCTGACACCAGGTTATACCAATAGATTGATTTGAAATCACAAGCTTTCAGAGTGTAGCCCCTTCATCACTGAAGTGAGCTATTCTTAATGCAGGGCCTTAAAGTAAACGTGAGGTTGATAGGAAACATTGCAGCCATGATGTGCAGTATTTCTCTTACTATCAATCTTTGTTCTCTTCTAAACCTCATCTTTTTTCATTAGGCTCTCCAGCATCACCTTGCAGTGTTCAAAACCTGCAGCAAGCAATTTACTACACTGCTTCTTTCAATGTTGCATTGCATCTAGTGTCTTGTACTTCAGTTTTATACATAATTGGCATTTTAAATCCAGTTCCATATTAATGAACTGCAACTTATCTGACAGAATTACTTGCTTGTCTGCACTCCTGTTTATTGAGCGGATTGCTGAGCATTACTTCAGTTTGAGAACTTACTGTGAATTTTTGCTGCTAGTCGTGAATAATTTACATTGTACTTAAGTAAAATGTAAAGTAGATTACTATTGGCTGAAAACTTTCCTTAGGTGGATTCATATTTGCCTGTCTTTTTACAGAATAGTTTGGAAGAAGATCATACAGAGTTGGCTTCTCCAGGAGATCTACTGATGGACTTCACTGAGGCCACTCCTCTGGTTTGTATTCAGACTCTAACATCTTAAAATATTCAGTTTTTTCACTATTATAGTTAATAGAATATGTTGTCAGCTAACATCCTGATTGCCCTTCATGGAAATATGGTTTTGCCTTACTCTGAGTTATGCCCTTTTTTTAAACATTCTCCTGATGTTTCCCACTATTCATTGAATTCCTTTCTACAATGGTGTGTGCTCGACAACATTTTACAAGAAAAGAAACAAAGCAGATTTGTAACATTGTTCATAGTGCTCAGAAGATGGAAGCTACATAATTTCGTTCCAAGTACCTTTCCTAAAATTCTCACTGATGCAGTGTATAACAGTAGCGTATCTCTTCTGGTTGAATCTGAGATTGAATTCAGCACTGACCGAGATCCAGAAACCTAGCTAGCCAGCATTGCTTTGCACTACACATAATGGAAAATTCTGGGGGGGGTTGGTTAACTTAGTTAGCTGGACAGCTGGTTTTTGACACAAAGTGATGCCAATTCCCACACCAGCTGAGATTAACATGAAGGACTGTCCTTCTCAACCTTTCCCCATGGAAAAATTATCTGAAGATTGATACAACATGATACAGGAACTTTGGGCTGCATCTTACATTTCTTTGTCAGTTTTGCCAAGCTTGCTGGAGGGTTTCACACCGCAGTGACTCACTATTTCTTACCAAACTTGCCTCATTAACTACCTACCTTGCCTTTATGGCTCCCCCTCACCCGATTCCAGACCCATCTTACTGTGCACTGGTACCAAAAGAAGTCTCCACTCACTTGATATCCCCTGAAAGAGCAGCATACCTGGGACCTGTGCCTTATTTAAAAGGCCAATGTGCATCCAGATGAGCACGGCAGTTGTGAAGTTGCTCTGCTTGGTGATGGATGTTCAGTCAGAAGATGTCTGAGAAGGGAAAAGCAGTGCTGCAATTCTCCTGGAGGTCCTGGTGAATGGGGTGGTGCAGAAGAGAGGCGCCCTGTTTAGAAGGACCAGCAGAGGAGGCCACTACACAGACCCTGGCAGCCTGGTCCGAGCCGGGCAGTGTAATCTCCATGGACTGGAGGAACGGCCGGCAGTGCTGCAAGAAGGTCAATGAACTCCTCTTCTCTGTCAGGGTAAGGCCACACTCTTCTCTCTGGTACTTCAAACCCTCTGTCTCTCAGCTACTGTACCCATCTGCCACCATGGCTCATGCTGTACCACTCTCACTATTGTCTTCTATATCTTTCTTCACTCAGTCTCATTTCCCTGAACCTCCAATGTTACTAACCCTGCATGTGCTCTGCATTGCCTGCTCACTCAGGACACCACTCCATTTCAACCATGTGCACCAACACAAATAGCTGAGCCACCCACTTTCATCTTGCTCAATCCCTCCCTTTCTCTCATTACAGGGGAAGACAGTCCACAACAAGGCTGATACGGCCTGCGTTGAAGAGGTGCCTGACATCAAGCTCCTCACCCGCACGAGAGAATCCTGTTCCTTGCAGGAGAAGACCAGAACCACTGCTGTGCAGATATCCATATCCCCCGCAACTGAGTAAGTACCACTCTTCGTGCAACCACAGCTTTTATAGTAATCCTGTCAGTCTCATTTGTTGCCCAATACTTCTGACCATTGGCCAAAATTCCTTCTGTCTCGTGTCTTGCAGCCACCAGCAGGATGTCCAAGGCCCCAGTGGAGAAATAATCTGTTGCCAGAAGTCACCTCCTCAATCTCTGAGGAATAGCGTGCCAAGGCCTCAGAGGAAACATCGCATGACTGCCTCCGCAAAACTCACACGTAGAAAGCACAATCTGGAGAGCATCTCACTGGGACTGCTCCACACTGACAGACGGGAGAAATGCCCCAGGTTGCAGACACTCTAAGGACGGCTGGAGACCAGGCATCTGCTCAGCTCCGAGTAGGAGAGGTGTCGGACTCAGGGACTTTGTTCAAATGCACAGGGAGGAATAGGAATGGCAGACAGGTACGTGAGAGGCAATGGCCCTCATAGCCCAGAGCCTGCAGGAGTAATTTGCCTAAAGCATGTGAATGTTGGCAGTTACCATTGGAGAGCCAGGTGCCTCAGGGTCTGCTGGATATGTGCATAGACCTGCATTCCATCACCCCAGCCATTGATCCTCAGGATTGAAATCATGGTGATGGAGGGATCGAAAACCTGGTGAGCACTCTAGGTGAGAATGCGGGTAAGTGGATCTGAGTCCACGAAAAGATCAGCCATGATCTTATTGAATGGCGGAGCAGGCTTGAAGGGCCGGACGGCCTACTCCTGCTCCTAGCTCTTATGTTCTTCATAAGGAGTCAGGGCAGTGCCAGGTGCCAAATAGCGGAGGAGAAACCACATGCACACCCAACAGAATCTCCTCTCAGGCACTCCAGAGGTGGTCAGGCCATCCACCTTGACCCTGGCTACCCTACTCTGACCCTTGGATGTCAATCCTGAGAGGTTGCTGCAGCATGTGGAAGCAAGATGAACAAGGCATGTGTAGGGCAATATGATGCCAGCGCACCCTTACAGCTTGTTGGTGTGAATGAGGTGGTCAGAGATGTCAGAAGCAGGGAAGTGTATAGTACATAGAGAGCCAATGCATTAGAATCACAAGGACTTAAGGAGCCTGCAGGTCTGTGTGCTGTACAGTGAATGAGTCCATGTGTGATGTTTTCCCTTGAAGAGCATACATCAATGGATCTTTCAACTTCCTCCCTCAAGTAAAGACACATACCCAGCCACTCTGGATGTGCTTGCAGTTATTTTCTTCCCCACTCCGTACTTCTGATTTGCAAACAGTGATCTCTGACCAGCGGCTTGGCAATACACGTTGGTAAGTCTCAAAAGATCCAGGTTCCTTTCCTGATAGCCCTTCAGATCATTCACCCCATCAGATTTGCACCTCCTCAGGTCCCCACCCAATCCATCTATATGACTCTGCACGTGCCTACCATTCTCCATAGTTCCTGGCATACGAGATGACCATATGAGGTGTGTTCATACATCTACACCTCCTTGAAACCATAGTGCTCCTAGCTCTGGATAAATCCCCCTTCCATATTAACCCATTCCCATCCATGCTTTACTATATCCTCCCCTTTTAAATACAGTTGCCCCCACTTTACTATTATCATCTCCCAGCTTGCTGCACGTACAGTGTGTTTGCTGGCACATGGTGCAGATGTAAGATTGTGTAGCACACAGCTGTACAGCAAGATATATGTCTCCTTTAACCGTGGACTGCTGACCAGCAAGACAAAATGCCTGGTTGTGTGACTGTGTTAATTGGCACGCAAGGCATGGATGCTCTGAGCTTGCTGGTAGGCACTAAGTGAACAAGTGCTAAGACAGCAAGTGAGTAACCCTGAGATGCAGCCTGATCCAATCTGTGAGCTGAGTGCCATGTGCTCACGCCTTACAACAGCCTTTCAATGCTAATTGTTGGTATGTACTGCAATGTGGTTTGTGCTTCCAGAGCGTCCTGCAAGTGGATCAGAGAGGTGCCATGAGAATCTAAGAGGGCTTGGCGATCATCAGATGGGGATGTCCGTGGACAAGGCTGGGTGCATGTGGCTAGTGTCCATGGGTCATGCCCTGAGATGATGTGTGGTAGGTAACATTAAAGCTCTTCGCAGCCAGCAGAGAGCTGAAGTCACCAAGTACCTGCTGTAACTTCCATTTTGAGAATTCATGCCAGCTAGTTAACTCACAGCGTGTGGTAGAATGGGAAACTGCATGTTAATGAGACGAGATGTACACATTAACAAGCAACAGTCCCTCTTTTTAGGCAACTTACTGCTGCCTAGTGAGAATCTCACCATGATGCCTGGAATTTGCTTAAAAGATACAGCTAGATATTCCTGACATTGAGATAGGCTTTGCTGGAATTCTCGCATCATTCTGCCATATCATTCAGGCTCCATAAGATTCCGTTCAGCATCTACTTTAATAAGCAGTGGCTTTAGGTTCCTGTTTTGTAGACACCCAAGATTTTGAACATGTTGTTTGAAGTGACAGAAGTATGTTCAATATTAACTTTCAGGAGCAACTTGGCTTACGTGAAAAGGAACATTTTGTAGGACAATAGAGATAAAGCAAGAGAGTGGGATTAATTGAAGAGTTAGTTCAGCAAACTACGCAGGGCATGTTTAGCTGAATGTTCTCCTTCTGAATGTATGATTCTATGATGAATTCTGAACTTCTGGCAATACAAGGCATGGTTTAGCAGGTCTGTTAAATACAGGTCCAAAGGGAAGAATTTGCAGTGCAGCACCTGCTAAACCAAGATGAGCACTAATGGTACTTATGGATATGAGCTAAGCTATTTATCCCTATCTAAAAGAAAGCAACATTGGATTATAGCAGAATAAAAATAATAAATTTTAGAATATTTATATTAAAAACCTCAACTAACTCATGATTTCTCACCAGCCCAATTGTAAGCATGCATCAGAAATGAAAAGAGATTTGTATGAAATTTATGTCCTGCAATACTGTTGTTTTAAATTCATCCTGCCAGTGCCCTAGAGTCTTTAACTGAAGTGTTAATGTTGTTTCTTTCGACATCTTTGAGTTTTCTATTATTTTACAGATAAAGACAGTACCAGCTCATCCTTTTTCACCTTTGCCACAATTTCCAGTAAGTATCATGCAATCATAAGGTTTTGCAGACTTGGTAAAAGAACTCCCCAAATATTGTGCTGAATATTATGCCAGTATATGTTTATTACATGTTTTGTTGTCTTTAGTCAAAGCTTCTGCTAGCGAGTGTATTCAGGTGTTACTTTGTAAATCGCAGAAGAGTTCAATGCGATGACATTTCCAAGCAACATAATTCATGCAATCTGTAGGTATACTTCTGTAAGGCAACAATAATTTCTGTCAGCATAGAGCCAGTACCATTGGGTTTTGTTTGTTATTAGTTGATTTCTCATATGGTTGCACACTACGAATGAAAATGAACTGCAGTCCTGAGGTCAAATGGACTTAAAAGAAGCAAAACATTAGGTAGAAGTAAGAGTAGTGGTTAAAGGGGGAACGTGTGGGATGAAACAGCTTTTGCCAATAGCTTGGTGGTAGTGGCAGCAAAGCTCTCCCAGTGTTTGGAGGCGGTGGCAGCAGCGGATTTTTCAAGATGGTAGAGCCATTAAGGCCACATCTTGGAGCAGGGCCAGAGTGAAGAATCTTGATGAGATAGCGGCAGCAGCCTGGTCTGGCAGTGGAGCCAGGGACTCCTGGTTGCAGTAGGTCTACAGCAGGCACTCCTGGAGTTGACGAGACGGCGGCAGAGCCAGGGACTTCTGATTGCGGGGAAGTGTGAGATCAGAGTGCAACCCGGCATCGACATTGGTGAGGTGTTCCCAGCGCTGAAGAGATGGTGCCTAAGGAGTAGCGAATCCCATGTTGATGGGTCCGGTGCAGGCAGTGGCGACGTGGTGGTGGTGGAGGAGTTGTGGGAGGAGGGGGTGTAGGTGTAGGTGTCATTAGTCAACCAGCTCAGGACTCTCTTTCAGCTATATCTTTATCCATTTTATTCTTAAAATATTCAAAATGGCACCAGATTGTGGTGACTGTTGAAGCTTTTCACTGTAATTTACTGCTTTATTCATTGCAAAACGAATGTGATAATAAATAAATCATTTATTCATACCCAGCTGGATGACAGTAGAGAGATACTGGATGAAGATGGTGTGGTCAACTGTGTTAAAGGCTATTGGCAGCTCAAAATCCAGGTAGTTTGCAAGGACAGAAGCATCATAAAATCATAGAGTAGTTCCAATACAAAAGATAGCCATTGAGCTAGTCATGTCCACGCTGGCTCTCTGCAGGAGCAATTCACCTAATCCTGGTTCTGCTTCGTCTCCTTTTCCTTCTAATTCCACTTCAAAAGCTATGGTTTAATCTACCTCCATCATACTGTCAGGCAATGCATTCCAGATTGCATCACTAACTGTGTAAATATCTTTTCCTTGCGATCTTTTCCCATTCACCTTAAATTGGTAACCTCTGGTTCTTGATTCTTCTATAAATGGGAACAGTTTTTCCCAACCTACTTATGGAGTCCACTCATGATCTTAAGTACCACTGTCAAATTTCCCCTCGAAGCTTTTTCAAAAAGTCAATCCACTGCCTCTGTAGTAGCAATTAAATATAAACTATTTATGCCACTAGTTCATCTGCTTCGATATATATACTTCATACATTCAGACAAAGAGCTTTTAATTTTAATATTAGAATTATTCTTACATGAACTTTATTATCTGATGCTCTGATACCATTAAACTCAATGCCACTTCCAGTCCCACTCTGTTTGTCTTTGTCCAAACCACTGTACTGTTTTATGTTTTTTTAAATTATTCGTTAATGGGTTGAGGACATCGCTGGCTAAGCAGCATTTATTGCCCATCCCTAATTGCCCAGGGGGCAGATCAGAGTCAGCCACATTGCTGTGGGTCTGGAGTCACATGTAGGCCAGACCAGGTAAGGATGGCAGTTTCCTTCCCTAAGGGAAGGAAGTTAGTGAACCAGATGGGCTTTCCGACAATCGACAATGGATTCACAATCATCATTAGATTCTTAATTCCAGATATTTTTAATGAATTCAAATTCCACCCTTTGGCGTGGCGGGATTTGAACCTGCGTCCCAGAACATTATCTGGGGATCTGGATTAACAGTCCAGCGATAATACCACTAGGCCATCGCCACCTTTTTTAATGCCTTAACTTCACTCTTTAGATTTTCAAATCTCCCATTATCTGAGTTCTGCCACTCTTTAATTTTAAAGTTCTGTGTTCAGCCTTTGTGACATGATTTAGCAGGACACTGCTCCCTGCCTAATTGTTAAAGTGGAGTCCATGCAGTGTAAGGAGGTTACGTTTCAGTTGTACAGGACACTGGTGAGAGTATATCTGGAGTACACTATTATATATGCTGTATAATAGTACGTTACATATAGTATTATATATAGTATTAGTCTCTTACTTAAGCAAGATGTGAATACCTTAGGCTAATTCCCATTGAGGATAGTTTGGATAGGTCAGGCTGCTTTTCTCTGACCTTTAGAAGGGTAAGAGCTAACTTGATTGACCCTATCAACCACCTCAGAACCTTTTGTTTCAATGTGGAAGCAACATTTCATCTTCTGAGAGAATCTAGTGTTCATTTTTTTTTTCCGTGAGGGTACGACTCTTCAGAATTCTCTTCCTCAGAAGGTGGTGGAAGTAGAGTTTTTGAGTATTTTTAAGGCAGATAGATTCTTGGTAAGCAAGATGGACTTTGTTTCAAACGTACAAGTTAAGAACAGAAGTGGCCATTTAGCCTCTCAAAGTTGATACATCTTTTAACATAATCATTGCTAATCTGATTGAATTTGGTGAAAGGTTATCAGGGTCAGGGGGATGTGGACTTGAAGTTCTGCTCTTAACTCTGTTTTGAACATCAAACTCCAACTTTCCATAATACTGGTGCAGGTGCTCACTGAATCGTAACTTTTTTCCCCACTAAATACTTTGTGCATGACTCTATGACCCTAAATGTTCTCTGTCAAGGTTAGGGATTGGATTTTTTTTTTGAGAGCATGTAGACAGATTTGAGAGAAACAGTGACAGGATCTGAAGAGGGAAGATCATTAACAATATCAGCTAACAGGGAGAAAAGCAAATTTCTGCAGATGCCATACATCTGACAAAAACACAAACTGCTGGAGAAACTCGGCAGGTTTGGCAGCATCTGTGGAGAAAGAAACAAAGTTAACATTTGAAGTTCAATACGGTTCATCAAAGTCCAAAGTTACAGTCATGTCGGATTACTCTGTTTCAGAGTGTTCTAAACTAAGATCATTCTGGCTGTCTGAAATTAGGCATGTTCCCTGAAAGATGCTGCCTGATTTTCTTTTTATTCAGCACAATCAGGCTTGTTAAAAGAAACTCACTGTTTCTCTCCTCCGTCCCACTCGTCCATTCCCTCTCCTGATCCTCCTACCCTGCTTCCCTCTTCCTAATTCCCATTCACTGCTCCCCATTCCGGTACCTTCACTGCTTCTCACTTGCCATTTCACCCAGGAAGGAGTGAATGGGAGAGGGGCAAGTCGTAGCTGGAGGATCAAGAGACGACAGAAGTGGCGAGTGAATGGGTTGGGAGAGGGCAGCGGGCACATTAGGAAAGGCAGAAAATAAGAAGTGAGAGGGAAAGTAAAGAGAGGGAAGTGCAAGTAGGAGAGTTGTGAAAGGGAAGCTGTAGAGCAAGAAGGTTTTGAAATGTAGCCATCTTCTCTCTGGTAAGCCAATAGAAGATGAAGTTGTTTTTGATCCAAAGTTTTGCTTATATCCACAACAGCAGACTGAAAACAGCCAAATGCGATGAAATTCAGAGCCACAATCACCTTGAGAGTTTCAAGCAATGCAGTCCTTTCCTGCTATGACGTTGTAGTATCAGCAGGTGGCAGATTTCAGTGACATCCTCTTTGCTGAAGCACAAGTGCCTAAAATATTGGTCATCTCTGAAGTTCATGTCAGAAAATTGCTCCCTAAACATCCACTGTAGACTTGACGTCTTGCTGAGCATATTTCTGTCCTCCTCCCCCCCACTCTTCTAACAGATTGTTCTGCTCTATATGGCATCTACTATTCTGTCAGTTGAGCTGAATGCCAAGAGGGGAAAAACCTGCCAAATCATCCATGTTACTCATAAGTATAGAAGTCCTTAAAATAATCAGGTATTCCAGATCAGTCTCTGTGCATTACTGAAACTGAAGAAAAACGTTAAACTACCATTGAAAGTATTAAAGGCAAGCAGAATTGTAGCAATTGCAAGAAGAAATAAACTAGGAAGTAGCTTTGTATGTTTCAAAATGCTTCACGTTGCTTAATATTATGTTCAGCTTTATGAGGTTAAGAGCGGGAGTAGGCTGTAGAGTGGAGCTTCAAAATGGCAACATTGGTGTCAAGTCAGAAATGCACATTGACATTATGATATGCCTGTTGTACAAACTGTCAGCAGACCTTTGGTATGAATGCATAGTCTGGCATTTGGTTGCACAACGATTCATAAAGGTTAATCCATGATCCGGTTGTATCATAATCAAGAACATTAACTATTTGGTGTCTCATTCAGCAAGTGCTTTGTCTCTTGCATCAGCTTTTTCTGTTTCCATTATTAACAAAGTTTTTAGCACAACTTAATTCTAAACTTTTTCAATTTAAACTTGATAAGAGGAAAGTGCTTTTCCTAACAATGTCGTGTTGGACAGAATTTTAGCATTGTTCTAATATGAGCACCAGTTTTTTACCTTGCAAAAGACATTGCCGCTATCTCTATTGTCAGTCCTTGAGGCAAAACATCCAAGCAAGTCAAATGGGTTTTAGTTATACTGCCATGGCTCAAAGTGAAAGATGTCAACTCTTAAGGTTATGTCTAATGTATGTCCAAAAACTGGATTGTTATCAGCACGTGATCCAAAGTGGTGCAAGACTCTCCAGGGTGTGAACGAGTAGTCATAGTTTCCTTTGTTAACAAATGCGGCAAATAATTCTTTATTTGGTACAAAATCATAAATTGCTGTAAAAACTCAGCAGGTCTGGCAGCATCTGTGGAGAAGAAGCAGAGTTAATATTTCGGGTCCAGTGGACCCAAAACATTAATTCTGCTTTTTCTCTACAGATGGTACCAGATGCGCTAAGTTTTTCTGGCAATTTCTGATTTTGTTTCTGATTTCCAGCATCCACAGTTCTTTGTTTTTTTTGTTTTAATTCTTTATTTGGTGATGGGATCAATTGCAAGGGAGTTACAGTAACAGTCTGGGCATTGGCAATGAAAATCCAGAAAACATTTTCTTAGCTAACACCACTGATTGTTATTTCCAGGAGTGAAGTTGCATCTTTACCACATCCAAGCAGTCCATTGATTGTAGTTTGCAAAATATTCTGCTAGGATGATGCTAAGATGGGAAACTATTAACTACAAGGAGATATTGGAATACTGGAACTTCCACACTGAAGATTAACAAAACTTTATGGAGAGTTCTAATGGAGTAAATAAGACTAGTTCTTGTGATTGTGCAAGTTAATGACCAAAATATCCATTTTCCAGCAGAGGTATCATCTTCATTAAAATGATTAATAGTGATTCCACTATACTGTATTTTTTTAAAGTACTGGTTAGTTACATTGTGCTTTCTCACAGTTCTTGTCTGTTATTTACAGGTTGAATTAGCAGATAGCCTATTGCAGTGTTATGAATTTCCACCATCTCCAGGAAAACCCTCACCAGTAACGCCTTTGCATGTGGCTCGAGCTCCAAATGATTCATCAAAATCTTCATCAGTGACATTTATACATGCAACCAGGCCTCTGACTAATCCAGGAAAATCATCAGTAACAACTGTGCATGCCATGAGGCACCTGAATGATCCAGGAAAATCTTCAGTAACAACTATGCATGCAATTAGGCCTTTAGCTGATCCAGGAAAACCTTCATCAGTATTGCCTTTGCATGTCAGTAGACCCCGGACTGATGCAGAAGTATCATCATCAGTAATGCCATTGCACGCGATTAGATATCCAAGTGATCCGGGAAAGTCATCAGTAACACCCTTGCATGCGGCTAGACATCTAACTGATCCAGGAGTTTCGTCATCAGCAATGCCTTTGCATGCAATTAGGTATTTGAGTGACCCACTCCCACCAGTTCAACACAGTGCGTCTCCAACAGACAGGTAAGGGAGCATAATGATTCTTTAATAAGTATTGTCTCATCTTGAAAAGGATAAGAAGCACACGTGAAGAAAAAAATGTGATCAGTAGTAAATAAAAATGTGATCTGCTAAAGTTTTTTTTAGGGCAAACCCATAGGGGGCAGGAAAGAGCACAGACAATGCCTCAAATTTTTAAAATTAAGACCAATGTCTCAGTAAATGACGAAGCAAAAAATACATTCATACTATGCTGGTGTGGACAAATAAATTGTATGATTGCAATGGGGTCACTGGATTTAGGATATATTTCCTGTTCAAGGACTCCGTGTTTCTAAAAATGAATCATTTTCCCCTAACGCTGTATTAAGCCATAAGAATTGCATGCAATTCAAGTAGCCACAATACATAACTTTCAATTCACTATTGAAAAACTTGTAGTATTGTCTTACCTCAATCCTTCCAGTTCCCTAGGATAAACAGCATGCTGCATCCTGGTTTCCATACCTGCAAACAGTTTTAACTCCATGCAACCAGCAGTTTGAGTCTCTGTTGGAGATGATGGAATGCAGTTTTAGTCTCTGTTGGAGATGATGGAATGCAAAGTATCAATACTTGATTTATGCATTTTGTCATCATTTCACTGACTTTACAAGATAAATCTTCATGCAATAAATGCAGAACATTCTGGAAATACTTAGCAGGTACTTCTGGGAGAGAAATATTAGATAAATTTTGAAGAGAAAAATTTGTAAGACTATTCATATATTGTATTCCAATAAATTATATATTTTAGTGAATCTTCCCAGATGACCTAATCATATTTGGCGAAGAACTGTAATGTTGTTAAAATTTAGCTGTAACTTTGTCACACTATGCAAAATAAAGGAAGCCCACTTGTCTTAAAAAAATACTATCATATGCTACCTAAAATAGAATTCTGTGTACAGAATTATTTACATCATAAAATGACGAGATTACAAAATGTTTAAACTTAGCACAAGACCTAATACAAAACTGCATATAGAATAAGGAACCTCAAACAGGATTCCTTCATAGATCATATAATTAATGGTCAATTAATGATAACAAATGTAACCATAAATTATAGAAACTGTAAACAAATTAGAAATATCAAATTGTGATTTCAAATTGTAAAGCCCCTTTGTATCCATCAGCCTTGTGGATGAGGTCCTTTTCTTTAAGACAGAGATGATCTAAAATTGATTTAGTAGAAGTCTTTTAAAAACATGATGGGTAAGTGTAAAGAATTCATTTCTAACAATATGATCCCTGTAGACTAGATATCACTTAAAAAGATATTTGAATTCCCAGTAACCAATTCAAAGAAATTGCACAACAAGATTTCCCATTCTAAGTCTTTTACTATAACAAACAAACAAACTTAAAACAACATTGACTAGACATTATTTAGTAGGCAACTAGAAATCTATACAACAGAACCAATAATCCCACGTCATATGCAGATGCTTTACAACACCCCCTCCACATGACTACAGTCTTAATTAATTAAAGAAGCCAATCCAAAACAAACTTGTAAAACCACATACCACTAATCAAAATTTAACATTGTAGAAACTTTATCCAGCAACTTAGTTCATGTAAGTATTATCCTCTATCTGTTGTCACATTTCACCATTAAGCTACCTACCTCGGCAAAATTATAAGGCTTAACTAGTCACTGCCAATCTCATGGGATAATGCTATTTAAACTTCATGGAATTCCAATTTTTTGTTTAAAGAATGTTAATTTTACAACTGGCAGCTTCACTTGCCTTGATTTGCCACAGCAAGTCTCCTATGGCCTTCTACATTTAAGCGTGTTTCTCATCTTTTCCATCTCCTCGATTACAAAATTACGTAAAACAGGACAGGATCATAAAAGTACCAATTTTCAAGGTGAACAACAATATATACTGCATGAGAATATAATGCTAATTGATTGTCAGCGGACTCTGGTAGTTTTTGCCTTGGAGAATGAACCAGTGAACAGTTATTGCCTTGAGTTTAAATTCACACCAAGCAAGTTGACTCTGTTGAGGCATTACCTGTTGAATGTAAAGTGAATACCTTCAAGAACTTGGCTCAAGTTCTATACTAATAAGTGATAGTTCAGTACTTGGTTTAGTTTTGGTATACTTTGTCAAGAACAACATTTCTGATAATCCTTCTGGATTCAGGACTTCTTTTATTCTTCTTTTAAAATCAAATACCAGCTTGTCATTATGATGCTGATCTTTCTACACACTTTTTGAACTATGCTGTTCGGATTTTAACTCCTGATCTCCATTCTTTCCCATGATTAAAGTTTTGTAAAGAAACATTCAGTCAATCATACAGCTGAATTCTCTGCTTTGACTCATGAGGCACTAGTACTAGTATTGGGGAAAGTGTGAGGTGTACCACTGGAGGAATCTTCACTTGACTCCTGCTGAGGTCATTATTTTGACAACTTGTATAATTAGGATAGTAGAGATGGATTTAATCTAAATAATCGAGTTGAGGGATCACCTGTGGGAAGAAGTGATTAAATTGACAGAATGAGCTAGGTAATTTAGCAGGGTATCAACATTGGTAATGATAACCAATGGGAGTAATGAGTGTCTCAGGGATAGACATACGATATAAATTTAATGCAGCAGCAAATAAGGAACACCATTTTTCAAGAATACTCTTTATCTAAACCTGTAAAGCATTCATAACAAAATGGATTCATTGATACCACAAGTAGAAATGAATATGGATGACCTGACAGACATTTCAGAAACTTAATTGCCAGGTGTCCAAGGCTGAGACCTAAATATTCAAAGAAATTTGACATTTTGGAAGGGCAGGAATCTAGGAGAAGATATTGGGCAGCTCTGTTAATTAAGGAGTTAAATCATTAACGAGAGGACTAGGTTATGTGCTTTGGCAGGAAACATAGAGAAGCTGAATATTACTTAAATAGAGAAAACTGCTGACAGCTACATCACAAAGGGACTGGGAATCCTCATGCTTAAATCACAAAGAAAAACCTGACATAAAAATTCAGCAAGTAATGAGGAAGTCAGATGGACAGTTGGGATCCATTTTAAAAGGAATAAACAATAAATATTGGGAACTCTTGCTAAGACTATAGAAAGCACTACTTAGATCACACCTGGAATACCGTGAACAGTTTTTGTCCCCTTCTCAGTAGAAAGATATACAAGTATTAGAGACAGCCTTGAGAAGGTGCACTTGGTTGTTCCCCAGTATGAAGGGTTGTCTTACAAGAAAGTTTGAATAGCTTGGGCCAGTGCTCATTTGGGGTTTAGAAGACTGAGAGGCAGATTATTGAAATGTGCATGATTCTTAGGGGACTTGACTAGGTCAATGCAGAAAGGTTGTTTCCCCTTGTGGAAGAATCAAGGGCATAATCTCACAATAGGAGGTTGCCCAGTTAAGACAAAGAGGAGGAGAAATTTCATCTGAGGATAGTGAATTTATAGAATTCTTTACCACAAAGGGTCATTAAGTATATTCAAGCCTAAGAAAGGATTTGCAACATAAAATTTGAACTTGGTTTGATTGTATTTCTTTAGGTAAATCGTAGCTTGTAACAAAAAAAAGGAACCAACTTTTCCATTACCACTTTTGTTGTAATTTTTCCTGATGTACTGCTTCATGAAATTTTGTGGAAACATCCATTATTACTAAAAGAAACTTAGGTAGCGGTCCTACAATCTATTAAGACGCTGCTAGAGCCACTTCTTCAAAAACAGATATTGGAATTGAAGGCACAAATTTAATTTCACCACTACTTGGCATTTTGCGTGGCTGGCAGAATTTGGCCCCATCTTTATGTAACCCTGGCCAATAAAAATGTTATAATATCTCAACTTGTGTTTTCTTAATCCTAAGTGAATTAGAATTTCATGAATTACTTGTAAAATTTCATTATGCAACTCAAATGGAAGTACCACATGATGGACCACTGTCCATTACTCATTGTCTAGTATTTTATGTAATTTGCATTTCCTCATTACTTTGTTTTTCAATTAATAATGTGGGAATAGTGTCTGATTTAATTTCTGAATAAGCTGTTGAGCATAACTTTCAATTGCAAATCCATTTCTTGCACTTCTACTAAAGAGGACAGGTTAAACATATCAGCCCCATTCTCTTTACCTTCATTCCTTTCAGTGAATTTTCAAAAATGCATCTGATAATCAAATTTCCAAATTGTCTCCCTATGTCATATACTCCTTCCTTAACCCGCCTGAAAGACAAATAGCGTCATCAGCCAGCATCAGTGACTGACTTGCTCAAGAGTCTCTCAATAACTTTATTGGTTTACCTCCTTGATTTAGTGCATAAAGAAATAATTCCACTTTTGAGATAGAACACTTAGCACCTCCAGTGATCTGATTCTCCTTGTCAATATATAAAGATGAATTTTCATGATTGTTCTGAGCCATCTCTACCTTCTTAGTACATTCTAAGGAAACATGTTCTCCCTGTACTACTGCTACAGTTTTAATACCTATTTCTATTGCTGTTGGCTCATTTTTTGAAGATATTTTAGACACTCTACTACTGCAAGTCTCCCATTTAACTTCAAGCAGATGGCTTCAGTATACCTGGTTTTATTGCGGTGGATGCATCTTAATTTATTTATGTCGCCTTTGATTTTAACTTTTCTCCTTTATTACTTTGGTGTCCTACTGTCTGTTCTGTAAACTTTGCACCACTTCCATCTACAGACTTTTCCATCGCTTTCCTTGTGCATTTCTCCTTTATCTGTGTGACATTTCATGGATATCTGCTGCTTTTATGATCTTTATTATTGACACTTACCTAAATACATTTTTAAATTTACAGGAATGCTATTTCTAAATTCTCCCATGATCATAATTTCCCTGATATTTTCTATTTTTTTCCTGTAGCTTTAGTGATCTAAAGCAACTGGTTCCTAATTTTTCAGCTGAATTGTTTGCTCACAAATGTCACGTTTACTATGCTATGGTAGGAATGGAGAC